TCTCTATCTCAAAGTTAATAGACCGGATCTGTGTCTCAGTGTTGAGCTATGTGCAAGATATCAAGCATCACCTCGTGTATCTCACATGAATGCGGTTAAAAGAATTATCAAATATGTGAAAGGTACTCTGGATTTTGGGATATACTATACCAAGGAAAGTAATGAGAATCTTGCAGGTTTGTGTGATGCAGATTGGGCTGGATGTCTTGATGATCAGAAAAGTACATTAGAGGATGTTTCTTTCTCAGAAATAACATGATTTCTTGGCACAGCAAAAAACATAACTGTGTCTCATTATCCACAGCTGAAGCCGAGTACATTGCTCTTGGGAGTTGTTGTACTCAACTACTTTGGATGAAACAGATGATTGCAGATTATGGTATGGATTCTGATACTATGCTTGTTCATTGTGATAATAAAAGTGCCATTGATATTTCAAAAAATTCTGTTCAACACTCTAGGACTAAGCATGTTAACATCCGACATCATTTTGTCAGGGAGTTAGTAGAGGAAAAACTTGTCATTATGAAACATGTTTCATCTGAACAACAACTAGCAGACATATTCACTGAACCTTTTGACTCCAACATCTTTCTATTTCTTAGAAAGACTTTGGGTGTTTGTAAGAATTAAGTCTAGTGTGAGTCGTAGGGAGAGAGTGTCGTATGGTTCTTATTTTAAAACAACTCTAATAGACGAGTCACTTGCAGTTTGTCTCAGTCATCGTTGCTAAGAACCATTGGTAAATGTTCCAAGAGAAAAATACTCAAGTTGGATCTGGATGCAACCACATTATGTATCTGATCTTGATCACTGTGTGGATGGAACTATGGAGAGACTGGGGATCAGCTAACTTGAAGAGCCAGTTAAGGTTTAAACAAATAATCTATCTCCTTGAAATGACTGACCAACAATTTGGATTGTGTGCTGTCACACTCCATATCTGATATTGTCTCAAGTCATGATCAAGATAACTAAATTTTGCCTTGAGTCTGATAGATAACCCATGACACTCTAATGTGAGAATATTGATCCGATGATGTGAAAGCAGCTCGGCTGAGTGTTGCTGTATGCAAAAAAAAAGGGAACAAAATATAGTGTCATAGCGTGATCTCTAGATGACTTAAGATTTATACCAAAACGATTAAAGCAATACCTCAAAATATTCCTGTCCTTTTTGGCTGATCTCCTGCTCATCTTCTGTGCAATTTCATTGTATGGTTCCCAAGTAACATGACTCTGATAGATTTTGTGTGGTCAAATGTGTAAAAGCATCTCGGCTGAGAGTTAGCTGCACATTTGGGTCTGTTAGTTGATCTTCAAAAGATTCTTGGCAGATTTTGTTTCTCTCCTCCAAACGTCTCACCTTGCATACTCATGTGTATTGTTCTTGAGTATGGTTCTGTCAGTTTTGCTGTCGCCTTTAGTTTGACAATGATAGGGTACTCTGGTATACTTTCCTCTTAAGTGATGTTGGAATTCGTCATAAATCTGTGTGACACAGTTGCCTTGTGTGTTTCGGGTTGTGATAATTGTGGTCAGTTTTGGACTTTAGTTTGGGCCTTAAGTTTGGTCTTCGTCCCCTTTGGGCCTAATTGTTTGCGTGAGTGTGGATTTCTTAGGGTTACCACTCGATATATATCGTATGAAGACAATTCATGTGCCACAAGCTGTCCTTCTCTGTCTCAGTACCGAAACCCTAATCAATCCTCTCTCTTTGTCGTTTGATATCATGCTTCCCACTCGTCATACTCGGTCTCAAGCACGGCAAGCCCTGGTCGAATCGGCTAGGATCTGCAGATCTATTCCCAATGACAACAAGACTCTCGTCGATGCTCTGCTTAAACTGCAGAATCCAGCTCATCGCTCAGGAAAAGCCCCGATGATTGTCCATGATCTTGAGGACGATCAACTCGAGCTCCATTAAAAAGCAGCACCAACCGGATCCAGTTCTAGACAGCCATCTGTCACCACCTCGCATGCAATCCCAACACAGTCCTCTGAAACTGAAGCAGTGGAGGAAGAGGAACAGGTGGACTCACGCATTCCTGCTGTCAGTGACTTTCTGGAGCTTGAACCTCGCTACGCCGCAAATCGAGATACTCTTCTCAGGTGGTGCAGGAAGACAAAATTCTCAGATCGGCCTCGCAAAACTCCGTGTGGTGATTTCTCATCCAAAGCTGCATTGATTCGACATAAATCATTTGATCTTTGCTCCTTCCACGGTGGTGTCTACCTTCCACTTGACGATCCCAATCTCGAAGCAGTCAAGAAAGTTCTAGTTCGAACGGGTATGATGTATACCGTCTTGGATGTGGAGCCGTACTGTCCTGAGGTGGTCAAGGAGTTCTATGCGAATCTGGGTGACCTGGAAGTTTGTGATGATCTCAGATATGTCTACGTCCGAGGACTTATGTTTGAGTTCTCTCCTGCCATTATCAATCGGATGTTTCTACGGCTGGAGTATGGTCCGGAGGGTGACTGGCTCACTGCTGATCTTAATAATGTTATATGTACTCTCACTTAGACTCATCGTTGTGGCTGGGAGGGTCTTCGTTTGTGCCATCTTTCAAAGCGGTGTGGTGTTCTGTATCGCATGTGCTGCAGAAACTGGATGCCAACTACTAATAAGATCACTCTGGTCAAGGATAGGCTTCGGTTTGTCTATGCTCTCGTGATGAACAAGGAGTTCAACTTCGGCACAATGGTTTATAACCAAATCCTCGCTATTTCCAAACATCCTGCTCCTGTCGATCGCATGCTTCCTTTTCCGAACCTCATCTATCAGCTGCTCGCTTTTCAAAGGACAGTTCCAGGACATCGCGGTGATGGTCCTCTCATTGGCTATCCGACAAAAATCACCATGGATCCTAAGGCAGGACGAGGGTCAGGCTATAAAGAACCTGTATGGGCTCCAACCTTAGCCGCTGATCTGTCTGAACTCTCCAAGTTCATTCACAAGATACATCAGCGTGTCAAAGGTAAGTGTCCTCTTTGCTATCTCAGTGTACTTGAAGTTCTACGTTAAACAATATTTTTTTGTATGAATGTGCACTCGCGCAGGGGGAGATTATGGTTTTGATCCTAAATTAGATATATCTCGAAATGCTGGTGCGACATACGATCTGATGCTGAGAGTGAGGAGGAGTCGGATGATGGTCTTTGAGGAAGACACGAATATGAAGCTGATGATTGATTTTCTTGATGTGGCTAGTATATTGCGTTTCCTGTTTGAGCATTAAGTTTTTCTTTGTTTTGTTTTGTGTGTATGTTCGTCTGGACTACACTTGAACTCGTTCTCTCCGTGAGGTGCTTTTACTTTTGTGTGTGAACAATTTAGCCAATTGTGCACTAAACCTTGGTTCTTCTATTCATCTATCACCTCTCTTGAATTCCTTGAAGTATCTTGTGCTTTTGGTTGCTCAGTCTTTGAGACTAACTTGGCAGGTTGCTTGAGGTGTCACATTCAGACAAAAAGAGGAAGATTGTAAGATGGAGATTCGTGGAACATCTGGAAAGTGTGTCAAACACATAAGGTGCAAAGATAGGATTGCTACAACAAGAGATATGTGGGAATCAAGGAAGATATTGAAGTTGTCTTATTTGGCTTTGTGCGAATATGCGATGCATCAAAGACTTGGCAAGAGTAATATGACGAGGCGAGTATATATGATATATTTCTGTAACGAAGTTTGGTTAGGGTTTTTGGGGCTAGAACACTCTTAATTTAGAAAAAAAAGAGTTTATGAGCTCCTTTGAGCAAATTAGGAATTGGCCAGTATCAAAGTTGTTGAGACAATTATTATATAATTCTAATTAAACAAGTCTGAAAAGATTGTTTAAGTGATTCTTAATAAGAATAGTTTTTTGAACTTCTGTTAATCAAGTGTTTTTGTGCCGGTAGTTTATATCTCTTGTTGTATACTAGTTCTACACATTGTATACATCGTGATCCCCGATGGTACATGAAGAAGCCGAGACGCCAAGGAGTGAGGTATGTTTGACATAACCAATGTTACCTAGAGATGCATATATGGCTGGAACTAATTCATTGTTCCCCATTAATTCAAAGTTAATTGAGAACATCAAAGGCGAATCCAAGACGAAAGAACCCTAAGGAAGAAGAACGACGACGAGTTAAAGAGACCACGGCGGGGAGAGATTGGGAATGTGGGCTTTTTGTCTCATTCAAATTAGGCCCAAGTTCAACAAGTTCATTGGGTTTACGACAGAAAAAAACTGTCTGAGATGTATTGTGTAATTATGTTGAGATGCTTTGATGCAAACTGTTTGCCGCAAACACAATCATATAAGTTTAAATTAATCTGAAAAAAATAGGGAGGATGTATATTTTTTGTTTCTCTTGTTGCTAAAGAATCAGGGGGAATGTTTTTGTAAATAGATTGTGGGATCTCTTTTTTTTCTTTTCTTGGGTCAACAGAATTGTGATATTTTTAATTGTAGAACTTTGTATAATGTTTTGTTATTATGGAATGAAAGTTGTGTGTCAGTTTTTTTAGTCTAGTCCCGTCTTTTTGAGTCACACGCGTCTTATCTCAAAATTAAAATGTAGGGAATGAAAATGAGCTTAATTTTTTTCAGCTGATGAGATTTAAATTATTGTATTGTGGAAAAGCTAAATAAATTGCGTGTTAAAGAAAGAGACAGGAACCAGTTCCATGGCCAGAGCGGGCTCTACCTACTACCTTCTGATATATAAATAAAAACGCGTTGTAGTATGTAAGCATGTGGATATTGTCAAAGTCTCGTGGTGAATAAATTAAGAAAAGTGAATTTCTAGATTAAACAAAATACCCACTAAGTGTTAAAAATATGATGAAAATCAGAAAAGAAAAAGAAAAAGAACTCTTTATGGTCTAAGTCATCACATATATAAAGATAAAACCACACTCTCAGGGTAAGAAATTTTCTTGAGAAAAAGATGCAGCCGATCTTCCATGCGATTCTTCGAAACGACGTTCCAGCTTTTCTAGGTTTAGTGGAGGGATTCATGGCTGGAGGAGAGAAGCGAGGAGCAACACAGCAACACAGTGTTGCACATGGCAGCGAAGCTTGGATACGGAGAACTCGTCTCAAAGATCATTGAGCTCCGACCTTCCCTCATCAACTCCCGTAACGCATACGGAAACAAACCTTTGCATCTCGCTGCTCTCCTTGGAGACGTAAACATAGTTACGCAGATGCTAGCGATTGGTTCGGAAGCCTGTTCTGCACGCAACAACAAGGACCAGACACCTCTCCACTTAGCTTGCCGCAGCATTTCCATGGAGGCTGCAAGACTCCTCGCGGAGAAGACAAAACCAGTCGGCATAGATGAACTCAACTTCGCCATATCGACTGGATCCATTTGTAAGTTTCTTGTGTACACACGCTCAAGAACTTTTTGTAAGGTTCTTGTATGATAAACTCACTGGCTCATGATGATCAGGTATCGCAGAGATTATACTGGAGAGATTCCCATACTTAGCTAGAGAAGAAGCTTGGGTGGTCGAAGGTGGCTCGTTATCAACGCTATTGCATCATGCGTGTGATAGAGGAGACCTTGAATTGACAAGTATATTGTTAGGGCTGGATCAAAGGTTGGAGGAAGCTCTTAACAGAAACGGTTTGTCACCTCTGCATCTGGCGGTCCTCAGAGGCTCGGTTGGAATCCTGTGGGAGTTCTTGGACAAGGCTCCGTTGTCTTTTGGGGCTCTCACGCCATCGAAAGAGACAGTGTTTCATCTTGCTGCAAGAAGCAAGAACATAGATGCCTTTGTTTTCATGGCAGAGAGTGTGGGGATTAACAGCCAATTTCTGCTGCAACAAACAGATGAAAATGGCAACACTGTCTTACATATTGCTGCCTCCATGGCTTGTGGTGCTCCTGTAAGTAGTTTTGTTTGTAGCTCTGCTCTTCCCTTTATAGAGAAAAAAATAAGATTTTAGTTAAAATAATAAGCAATTTCAAACTTCAGGAAATACATTATTTTTTTGTTTAGACTTGTTTTAAGAATTTTTAATTTCATTTGTTTTTATGTTAGTACTTAAAATTTTGGATTTAGAGTTTAGTTTTTATTGTTTAGAATTTAGTAAAGACTAGGTATATACCTGCAGGTTCTGCATTATGCTGCGGAATATTTTTTAAACTTTATATATATTTTTAATACAATAAAATTATTATTATAATATAAATGAGTATTATATTTTTTTATTGCTTAGATTATGCATTTATATGTTTTAATTATATCTAAATAAACATTGAATATCCGTAATATTTTTATTTTTCAAAATTATAATTTGCTATCAAAATTGTTTAGCTAACTAACTATAAATGTATATGTAAGAATAAAATAATAGATTTTTAAGTACTTTCGTACTAATGGTAAATATAATCTATTTTCTCCAATAAATTGTCACTTGATGCTTCTTTGTCATTATATAAAGCAAAATGCCATTCTAAAAAAAGTTTTATTAATTAATATAATTATTTTAAATTATAAAATTTATTTATTTATCCAATATTTATTATAAACATATATTTCTAAAACTACCAAACTATAATTAATAACATTCATATCAAAACCATTGTTATTACATTAGAACTAAATAGAAATTTTGTTTGAACTGTTGAAATATCGTTTTGATTGAAGTTAAATAATTAAATTTTGGTTACTGTCAACATACTTTAACTTAGAAATTTAGCACAAAGAAAGTTCATCTTCTTACATAAACCGAGAAATCGCATTACCCGTCAAAACCAAAAAACTTCATTTTCCATGAAACTGAGAAATCGCCTATTCCTACCAAAACCAAAAAATTATATTTCTCGTCAAATCTAAAATTCATTTTTCCACCAAAACAGAGAAATTGTATTTTCCCGCAAAAACCAAAAAGTCACATTTTCGCGCGAGAACCTTTGATTTCCCGCCAAAACCGAGAAATTACGTTTTTTCACCAAAACCAAAAAATTTCATCTTCCTACAAAAACCAAAAAATCGTATATTCCCGTCAAAACCGAAAGTTTTATTTTCCCGCAAAACCGAGAAAATGCCTATTCCCCCCAAAACCAAAAATTTTATTTTCTCGTCAAACCAAAAATCACACTTTCCTACCAAAACATATAAACTATAATTTTTTGCGAAAACTAAGAAATTGTATTTTCTCGCGAAAACCAATCATATTATTCGTCAAAAACTGAAAATTTACATTTTCCATCAAAATCGAGAAATTGCTTATTCCAGCCACAACCAAAATTTTTTGTTTTTCCATCAAACAGAGAAATTGCATTTTCTGCCAAAATCTTCAAATTGCAATTTCTCGCGAAAACTAAGAAATCACAATTTTGCGCGAAAACCAAGAAATCACATTATCCATTAAAAGCCAAAAATTTGCATTTCCTATCAAAACTGAGAAATCACATTTTTTAGTCAAAATTGAAAAGTTGCATTTCCCATCAAAACCGAAAAATCGTATTTTTTCGTCAAAACTAAGATATTTTGTTTTTCCATCAAAATCTATTTCTTTTTGTTTTCTCACAAAAATCGAAAATTCACATTTTCCCGCCAAATCCGAGAATTCATTTTTTCGCCATAACCAAGAAATTATATTTGGCTACCAAAAATGAAAATCACATTTTCCTACTAAAACCAAGACATCCCCTATTCCTGGCAAAACAGAGAAATTCCCTATTCCCCTCCCCCCCCCTCAAATAAAAATTATTTATTTGTTGTTATTTATTATTTGAGCTTGGATTTGGCAAAAAAATAAAACAAAGATTAATAGAAAAAGTATTTGGGTCTTTAATGGGTTTAAGTTTAAAAGTTAAAAGAAATATATGGGTTATATTAATAAAATGTTTCCATTAGTTAATTTTTTTGCTGAAGTGTCATCTTAAAAAAACTTCAAAAATCTGATGTGTCATCTCCAGAAGAGACTCAAGAGCTATTGTTGTATTGATTACATAGAGCTTACCAATTAATTTTTAGTTATAAGTTCATAAATATTAACATTATTGTAGAGCTTGACCTAAATCTTCATTACCCGATCCCTTAGTGGTATGAATGGATCAGAAAAAAACATCATTACGAAAAGAATGTTAAGAATATCGATTATAAAAAAAACAGATTCATTCTTACAAAGTTTCTTTTGGTTCAATGTAATCTTACATTCATTCAAAAAAATAAGATTAGATTACATCTACTCGGCGGATCCCATCCGAGAACAAATCTGATAACTTCTTGGTAATCCAGAATGAAAGAAAAAATTGCTTTGGTGTATCTTGTTATTTTGTTGTTGTTGGTTGTTGTTTGTGTTCCTTCTCACCTATTAAACATATTCAAATTCTCATATGCAGCTTATACGTTACATTGTTGGTAAAAAGATAGTAAACATCAGCTATAGGAACAAGAACGGTTTTGCAGCATCTCAACTTCTCCCTCAAATAGGGGTGGGCAAAATATCCGTTATATCCGCTTCGAATCGATATTTGTTTCGATCCGATTCAAAAAATCTGGATATCCGTAAAGCTTCGGAGCAAAGCAAATAGCAAAATATAATATCAGTACAAAACGGAGCAAATCACAAATATATTTTTAGATAACGCCGGATATCCGATCCGATCCGTATTTTTATAAATTTATTATATATTATCATGTATATATCAATTATATTATAATTTTTTATTAATATATTCTCAATTCTCTTCCTAAATTTTCAATTGTTCTTTTTGATTATATAAAATAAATGACTAAATAACCAATTATAAAAAATAAATAATATGTTTAAACTTAAAATATGTTAATAAATAACATTTTATTTTATATTAGTAAATAAATATCAACAAAAGTTTTTTAGTAAAGTTTAATATTAAAATTTCAAATAGCTAATATTATTTTTAAATATAAAATACATTTTTTCCTCATCTTAATTTTGTAGGTTTATTTTTATAGATTTTTTATAAAATAAAATAATTTATTTTAGTTATTTTCACTTAATAGTTTAGATGAAAAATATTTTTTTTTATAATAAAAATTGATGTACTTTTAATTTTGTGTATATTAAACGGATCAAACTAAATATTCATAAATATCCGTAAATATCCGCAAATATCCACAAATACTTGTAAATTTTCCGGATATCCGAAAATCCAGATATCCGTATATTTCCGGAGCAAATCAAATCATAAAATTAAATATCCGTTAAAAACGGAGCAAACCACAAATACTAAAAAATTCACGGATATCCGATCCGCGCCCACCCCTACCCTCAAGAAACCGAAAACTTTGAGCTGTTATCAAGCTGGCTGAGATCGAAAACCGAAGCTTCAGAAGAGCTGGATTCTGAGAAAAGTGAAGAACACTATGGCCACTCTAATTCATTCCATAAAGAATCTTTGCGACGCAATAATTCTTTAGATCTCTATAGTGGGAAGATGAGAAGCAAGGAAAGGGAAGAGGAAAGAGCTCGTGAGAGCTTAGAATATGAGATGCATTACAAAACGCAAGAAACACGATTGCGATAGTGGCAGTGTTAATAGCTTCGGTTGCTTACGCCGGTGGGATAAACCCTCCGGGAGGAGTCTACCAAGACTGGCCATGGAGAGGAAAATCGCTCGTGGGGAAAACGACAGCGTTTAAAGTCTTTGCAATATGCAACAACATCGCACTCGTCACGTCCTTGTGCATCGTTATTCTTCTCGTTAGCATCATACCTTACAAGAGAAAGCCCTTGAGGAAGTTGCTTGTGGCCACCCACAGGCTGATGTGGGTTTCTATAGGGTTCATGGCAACGGCTTATATTGCTGCGTCTTGGGTGACCATACCGCATTACGACGGTACACGGTGGTTGTTTCCGGCGATTATCTCCGTCGCTGGTGGAGCGTTGACGGTGCTCTTTTCGTATCTCAGAGTTGAGACCATCGGGCATTGGTTTAGGAAGATGAACCATGTTGAAGACATACCTTCTTTTGCAAGGAACTGTAAAGATTTGGCTGCCTCTGGAAAATCAGGCTATTTCACATATTGAATCTTACCTCAGTACAAAACAGAAAAGGAAAAAGTTAGAGCTAAGGAGAAACAAAGCTCTAATAGCAGTGAAATTAAAGCGGGAGCGCGAGAGGATGGAAGATTAATTTTGCTACGGTTTTAAGTATTGTTCAGATTAAATTGTTGTTTAGTGTTAAGTTTAACTTAATTCAAACATTTGTGCTATCATCATTATTGGCCAATCAAAAAGATAACAGTCTGACTGATATCCTAACTATTATTTGATAAGCACCTTTAATGAAATTTGTTGATTTGTACAATTTAATGCTGATCTGGAATAATGACTTGGAAATATGACAAGATAAATTTCCTAAAATAAACGAAATATTTTGATTGGTTGAGTTATAATTAAATAAATTATATAATTATAACATAAATATACTAGATTATAACACTAAAATTTATAAATTTAAATAAATAAAAAATAATAAATTACTATGATTTCAATTTGTTTTTACATAAATTCATAATAGATTACATAAAACATGATTACGAAAATTTTACAACCAATATATATTTTATATTTTTAATAGAAAAAAATAATAGATTATCTTATAAGATAGTATATATGCTATATACTAATATGGTTGAAAGTATGATATATTATTATTTGTATAATATAAAATATTTTATTATTTGTTTGACTATCACAAATTTTATAATAAATATTTATTTTAAATTTTATTTGATATAGTATAACTAAATATATGAATAAAAAATAAAAGTAAAAATAAAAATGAATCTTTACGATTTTGGTTTTCTGTAACAATCTCAAGCTATGTCTTTGGTTTAAAGCATCTCTAACCCACTTTTATTTTAAATGTTCTAATTTAGTGAAAAATATCGATGTTATTTTTTTATTTAAGATAGAAATATGTTAGAGAGAAATCCACCTATATTTTAGAAAAAAAAATACATTGGAAATAATTTTTAATGTTTAATATTTTATCCAAGGTTAAGAAAAAAATAAGACAAAAAGAATAATTTGGATCAATTTTGTGTTTTTATTTAAAAATATATAAAAATATTATCTTACACATATTAGTTCTTTCATGCATATATTTTTTTCAACATCTTAAAATATTATTTCATGAATCAACTTTTATATATCTTATGATCCATTATATATAAGATTAACACATATATCAAAGTTAGGAACAAAAAAAACTTATTTTGTAATATAACAATTAAATATTAAATATATTATTTTACACCTTCAGTCATACATATATAAGTTTATGATCTGACTGGTTTAAACGCTGCGATTACAGAGAGTTTGTGAAAGCGACCGATTGGTAGCTATAGAAATTTTGACGAAGAGATAAGAAGAGAGCTACTGAAGAAATTTATAAAATAAGAATTCAAAAATATTATAATAATTTTTTTTATAATTTTTGTTGAGAAACCATATATCATAAAATGCTGAAAATAAGAAATTTTGATTTAGTACAAATGATAGAAATGGTTTTCGTGATTGTTGTTAAACACCAAAACTGTATCGTGTAAAATCATATCATTTGCAGAAAATATCAGAAAAACTAACCTACACATAAATATTACAATTCACTTATTTATAACTCATACCTACATATATAAAGATACATATTTTTCATTAAAAATGCATGTATATATAAATCAAAGTCGCATGCAAACTTGTCGTGCATACATTTTCATAACCTCGATTATAGTCCAATTTTAATTTTAGTTATTAGTCAATTTGTATTTATTGTGCGGACCAACCACCTCACTGCTCTTAGGATAAGTATTTATTATTAATACATAATTTCATATTTATTTTTTCTATTAAATGTTTATATAATGTTATTATTAATGCATAATTAATCATATAGAAATAAAACATCTTCAATATATAATATTCATTATAGATTTAACATATAAAATATTCTATAGCCTGCACACGGTGCGGGCCGATCACCTAGTATCAGATAAATAGTAGAATCACTAAAAATGATTAGTAGAAGAAACTGAAATTTAGGTCTCGCTGATATATCGGATGAATAATAAATAACAGAGTAGATAAAAGTTATTAAGGGAACAAACTGAATTGAATACAAGTTTTACTGAATAATTGTAAAACTTGGAAAACCTAATTTTAGTAGATTAATAATGTTTTGTTATTTCTAGTTAAATTTTTAATATGCTAGCAGAATTACATTTTAAAACATGAAAAATGTAAAAACATAAAAGTGTGAAAACGCGATGAACAATGGGGTTGAATAGTATGTGTTTTTTTCTTTCATATTTTCACATTTTGAAAATGTGATTCTACTAAATACATACATACAATTATTCATTTAACTAACTTTTTAGCAATTTGAGTTTATTCAGTTTTCAGTTTACCCATTTTGAGGTTTAATGGTATACAACTTTTTCATGTTTTCAGTGTTGAAAACGTGATTCCACTACATGCATATCATTCACGATAATAAGCACTGAATGATAAAAAAATAAAAATTAACACCCTTTTTTATTAATATATTCCGCATGTTTAAAATTTATAACTAGTTTAGAGAAATGTCTATTCATCTAATAGATACTAGGGTTTAATGATATGCAGCTTTTTATTTTTCAGTTTTGAAATCGCAATTCCACTAAATGTATACCATTTATGTTAATAAACATTAAACGATAAAAAAATAAAAATTAACACGTTCTTTTTATATATTCTGCATGTTTAAAGTTTATAACTAGTTTAGAGAACAAATTTAGTCATCTAATAGATAGTGAAGTTTAATGGTATGCAGTTTTTTCATGTTCTCAGATTGAAAACCGTGATTTCACTAAATATATACTATTCACATAATAAGTATTGAATGATAAAAAATAAAAATTAACATGCTATTTTTAATCTATTGAGCATATTTTAAATTTATAACTAGTTTAGAGAAAAAAAAATACTCATCAAATAGATACTATTTTTTTAGCATTTTGAGTTTACCCATCCTATTATTCAACTAGTTTATTATTCTGCTATTAAGTTGACATACCAGTCAAACTCATTGATTCCACTAGTTGCTATTAAGTTGACATACAAATCAAATCAATTGTCTAAATAATATGTTAGTTTAATAGCAGAATAATTGAATAAATAAAAAATTGTTAGCAAAACAAACTAACCTGATTATTGTTTTTGCTAAATAATTATAAAATGTTAAAAAATTAATTTTCGTAGATTAATCATGTATTAATTTTTAACTGAAGAATTGTTAGCGAAACAAACTAATATGACTATTGTATTTGCTAAATAATTAGAAAATGTTGAAAATCTACTTTCAGTAGATTAATCACATTTTAATTTTTATAACTATATCTTTAACACAGTAGCATAATCACATCTTAAAAACATAAAAAAACATGAAAACGTAAAAATGTGATAGATAACATGAATGATAAAAATTGAGTCACATTTTAAAAATATTAAAAGTTTAAAAGTTGTATACCATTCAAACGTAATTTGAATGATAAAAATTAACCGAATCATTTTTTAAAAAAACGTAAAAAAGTGAAAAAAATGTATACTATTCAAACCCAATAATATTTTAGCTAGATAATTGTAAATAATTGAAAAAGTTATTTTTAGTAGATTAATTATTTTTTGTATTTTTAAGTTATTTTATTATTTTTAACCTGCTTGTAGAATTACGTTCTACAAACTTGAAAAACATTAAAACATAGTGAATAATAAAGATGCTGAATTAATTTATTTGTGAGAAGCTGGCGGCAACTTTCATTCATTCATACAACGTCCGACACTTATCTAACGATAGATTTAAAGACACTAATTGTTTTTTGCATCTATGGGAAGCCACAACAATTAGAGGCGCTACCTTCCAACTATTAAGATAAGAGAGAAAGGCTAGCGACAGGTTGCCGAAAATATGATAGATTTCTTTCTGTATTAGTGCTTTTTGCGTTTTCTTCCCTTATTTAGTATCGTTTTGAAATATTAATATCATTAGGAGCATTAATTTCTCATTATTCTTTTATGGATTTTATTATTTATTATTCCATTATCGCTTTAATCACAGTTAAAGGCAAAGCACTTACCGTAAGATAATAATGTACCAAATTTCCTCGACTTCTTCGCATTCCAGCGAAAGGAAGAAGATGAAGCTAAAATGGGAATCAATCTCTACGCTTCACCAAAATGTGTTTCTCATAAAGCTCGTCTCTGCTATTCTTATAACCGCTCTCTCTTTTCGTTTCTTCTTCTTCCGCTTCGGCCAATTTTCCCCAGTTCAAGTGTCCGTCAACGGAAACTCCGATCCTCTGATTTCGCCGCCTTCGGTTATATCGGATAACGATGATCTTATTCCCGCTGGTAAGATCAGCTAGTAGCAAAAACATTACGTTTTCGCTGCGAATTTAGCCATTACATTTTGTTTTTTGGAACAAAATTCTGAGATCTAGGGATTTAAAGAGATTCCTTTTTAAGTTTGCAACTTCGAAAGGGTACTTGAAACGGTGTTTAAGTTACATTGAAATGTGTAGTGTATAATTCATGCGAATTACCATTTGATGATTCAATTGGAGAATTTGTCAGATTATTTCTGCAAGGTGTTGTCTCCGGATTCATAGTTTTTGATCATTTGGTCCAAGCTTCATGATCGTAGACAAATTATTTCTTATTGCGTCTTCTTATGATTCAAGCTTTTATGATAATTTGTTCATTTCAAGTTTCCTAAATTGCCATGGTTTTGATTCGTTTGTTTGAATCTATTCCCACAGTTTCATCTCTCTGGTGGTGTTTTATGGTTGTTTTTGCAGCATAAAAGATAGGATTCTCATATGGGTTTTTGTTAAATAGTGGTAATATCTGATCATAGTAGGTATGTTCTTCGTTTATCCTTTTTAAGTGGTGATAAGAATCTGTTTGCTGTATCAGATATTGTGGTGGAGAAGTGTGATCTCTTCACTGGGAAATGGATCAAAGACCCTTTAGGACCAATCTACACTAATGACTCATGTGGTATCGTCGTAGATGCTCACCAGAATTGCATCACCAATGGTCGGCCTGACTCTGGTTTTCTCTACTGGAAATGGAAGCCTAACGACTGCTCCTTGCCTCGCTTTGATCCTCAGAAGTTTCTTCAACTTATGAGGAACAAATCTTGGGCTTTTATTGGTGACTCCATTTCTCGTAACCATGTCGAGTCTTTGCTTTGCATGCTATCTACAGTAAGGTTTCTTGCTTAAGCTATTTGCAGACTTGCAACAAAATAAGATTTGTGAATGAAAAGTGTTTCTTTGTTTTTTCCAATGTTTCAGGTTGAAAAACCGGTTGAAGTGTACCATGATGAGAACTATAGATCAAAGCGTTGGCTTTTTCGTTCGCACAATCTTACAGTATCAAACATTTGGTCACCGTTTCTCGTTGAAGCCGCCATTTTCGAAGACTCAAACGGTGTCTCTTCAGCTGCAGTCCAGCTTCACCTCGACAGACTCGACAAGACATGGACCGATCTGTTTCCGAGCCTCGACTATGCGATCATCTCTTCCGGGGAATGGTTCTTGAAAACCGCCGTCTACCACGAGAACGCTAGTCTTGTCGGCTGCCATGGCTGCCCGGAAAGCTCCAACATGACGGATTTAGGATTCGACTATGCTTACAACACATCCTTGCGTCACGTTATGAACTTCGCCGCGAGATCCAACACTAAAGGCATGATCTTTTTCCGGACTTCGATACCGGATCACTTTGAAAACGGAGAATGGCATAACGGCGGGAATTGTAAGAAATCAGAACCGGTGAGCGAGGAGGAGGTTGAGATGAAGGTCTTGAACAAGATTTTGAGAGATGTTGAGATTAGTCAGTTCGAGAGAGTGGTTATGGAGATGGGTCAGGAGATGGGGAACTTTAAGCTTTTGGATTTTGCCAGAATGTTGCTGACTCGACCCGATGGACACCCTGGTGCGTACCGAGAGTTTAGGCCGTTTGATAAGGACAAGAACGCTAAGGTACAGAACGATTGTCTGCATTGGTGCTTGCCTGGTCCGATTGATTACTTGAACGATGTTATATTGGAGATCGTTGCGAATGGTAGAATAGGGAAATAGCCGATTTGATTGTATCTTAGTCAATGGCTGCATTGAAAACACCGGTTGGATCTCGGTCGTGTAAATTGGTAAAGTTGTAACCGGATAGAGGAATGGAAAACCAGTTTGGTTCACAATTTTTGTAAAGCGATTGTTCGTGGTTTTCGGTTATGTGGAAAAAGTTTAGGAGATTGCAAGTGAATATTAAAATATTTTCTAAACCGAGTTTAGTAAGTTGGTTTGGTAACTTTGGTTTGTGTAATCAGAAATTCGAAGGGTCAACACTCAAAAGTAGGGGTGGGCACTTCGATTTTTGGTTCGGTTTCTTCGGTTTTACGGTTTATCGGTTTTATAAAAACTCAAACCATTTAAAAGCTATATATATTTCGGTTCGGTATAGTTTGGTTTTTTACGGTTCGGTTTGATATGATTTGGTTTCGGTTTTTTTAGAATTATATTATTACAAAAAAATTTGATTCTAATGGAAATAATAATAATAATTGCTATGAGTGAAAAAAAAAGTTCAAAAAATAGAATCTAAATCATAACAAATTCATCAATAAGGACAGATTTTAAAACAGAGAAATAAACAAATTATCAAATCTTTCATAATCAATAATTATAAAACAATAAACAAATCTAGATTAAAATTTAATACCTATAACTTTGGAACTAGAACTAGAAGACTTGAATGTAAAGAATAAAGAATTAATCACGTTTTTATTGAAAAATTAAGGTTTAATTTATTATATATATGTAGATATTTTTTATAAATATTATATTTTAAATTTATGAGTTAAGTTAATCATATAATATATAAAAGTTGATGGCATAAGACATTGAGAGCGTTCACATGAGATATAAAAACTCGATATGATTGGTTCATATTAGCATATTCGTTAAATAAAAAAATATTAAGTATGATTAGGATGAAAAAACTTGGAAACTATAAGCCCAATAATAAAATATGTACCTAAACTAAATTAAGAAACTAGGAAAATATAAATAATTTAAAATTTAGTTTAAAAATAAAAAAACCTTTTGGTTTGACGGTTTTTAACCAAACCAAACCTAAACCAAAATTATAAAAAATTAATGGCCAAACGGATTTTTAGATTTAACCATAACCAAACCATATCACTTTTTCGGTTCGGTATGGTTTGGTTTTTTCGATTATGGTTTTTGTGCCCACCCCTACTCAAAAGTGTAAACGAATAAAAATTGATCTTTTAATAAATTTATGCTCTAAACCGGTTATGGTATGTTGGTTTAGCTTACTGGGGAGGAAATTCAAACGGTCAAAATTCAAAAAGGTAAGAAAATCGTGGTCACCCTCGGACGCCAAGTGACTATTCAATCCACAAAAGTGATAAGTCTCAGTTTTGAAATTCGAAATTTCGACCGTTGCGTCTTCTTCCTATATAATAGCCCAATGATAGCTACAGACGCTCCACTTAATCTGGAACCCTAAATTTCAAAGCCTCCATTTCTCTCTAATCGTCGCTACGCTCTTTTCTCAAACTCTCTTCACATGGCGACTGTCGCAGATCCTGCTCCGGCGAAGAAATCGAGAAACAGCAGGAAAGCTCTGAAGCAGAAAAACGAGATCGTCGAGCCACAGTTGTCGCCGGTCTCAGCCAAGGGGAAAGAACCAAAGTCGTTCGAGAAAGATCTGTTGGAGATGCAGGCGATGCTGGAGAAGATGAAGATCGAGAAGGAGAAAACGGAGGATCTGCTGAAGGAGAAGGACGAGATCCTGAAGAAGAAGGAAGAGGAACTCGAGACGAGGGATGTTGAGCAGGAGAAGCTCAAGGCGGAGCTGAAAAAACTGCAGAAGATGAAGGAATTCAAGCCTAACATGGTACGATTTCTTCTAGATCTGGCTCTGGTTCTCCATTTATTTCGAAGTTTTAGGTTCTGTGAACATATTGGAATGGTTTTAGATGTTTTGGTGATATATTCGGAAATTGTACTTGATGGATGATTCGTTTGGTTTCTGTTGCTTGATAGTAGTATCGGCGCAGAGTTTAGATAAGTACCTAAGTTGATTCAAAGTTCGTTCTCTATATTCTCCTTTGAAGTTTGATTGTTTGATCAACCTGCATCATGATTGGTTTGATTTCTATGCTTGTGTTCGAGATGTTGAATTGTTAATTTGGTGGAAAAATAGTTAGATACAGAATGATTTGTTACATTTCTCTGCTTATCTTGTGATTGATTTGTGAATCTTTATGTTGCTCCTCAGCCTTTTGCTTTCGGTCAATCTTTGGCACAAACTGAAGAAGATAAAAAGGGAAAGAAGAAGAAGAAGGATTGTCCTGAAACAAAGAGACCATCGACGCCATACATCTTGTGGTGCAAGGAGAACTGGAACGAAATCAAGAAGCAAAACCCAGATTCCGACTTCAAGGAGACCTCGAACATTCTGGGTGCTAAGTGGAAGACTCTGAGTGCAGATGAGAAGAAACCTTACGAGGAGAAGTACCAGGCTGAGAAAGAAGCTTATCTCCAGGTTATTACAAAGGAGAAGCGAGAGAGGGAAGCCATGAAGCTTCTTGAAGATGAGCAGAAGCAGAAGACTGCAATGGAACTGCTTGATCAGTACCTCCACTTTGTTCAAGAAGCTGAACAGGACAACAAGAAGAAAGCCAAGTAATCCCACGTATTTCACTAGAGAGTTGATTTGATAGTAACAAAAATGCAAGAAAACTGACTTCATTTTCGCTTTAGGAAGATAAAGGATCCCCTGAAGCCTAAACAACCCATCTCTGCTTACCTGATCTATGCAAATGAGAGGAGGGCTGCGTTACGAGAAGATAACAAGAGCATTGTGGAGGTAAGTAAATAAGTTGGAATTCGTCTTTTCTTGATCTCATTTGAAACTCTTGAAAGCTAAGTTGTGTGGATGAATTGGTGAGTTTAGGTTGCGAAGATGACTGGAGAAGAGTGGAAGAACTTGACTGATAAACAAAAGGCTCCCTACGATAAGGTCTGGTTTCCATATCAATGCTCCACTAATATCATAGCCATTGTTGCAAGAAGTGAAAAAGTTTCTCTAACGTATGTGTGCATGTTCTGGAATTCTTTTTGTAACAGATGGCAAAGAAGAACAAGGAGAAATACCTTGAAGAGATGGAAGGATACAAAAGGACAAAGGAAGAGGAAGCCATGAGCCAGAAGAAAGAAGAAGAGGAACTCATGAAACTCCATAAACAAGAAGCTCTCCAGCTTCTCAAGAAGAAGGAGAAAACCGACAACATCATAAAGGTCATTGACGCCTTTCTTATAATGTTAGTAAAGAACATTTTTTGGGGGGATAACTCAGTCACTAACAAACGATACATGTGTTTTTTTTTTTTTTTTTTGCAGAAGACGAAAGAGACGACGAAGAACAAGAAGAAGAACGAGAATGTTGATCCTAACAAACCAAAGAAGCCTGCTTCTTCGTTCTTCCTCTTCTGGTACTTTTAAACCCTGAAACCACAGACAATCTAATCCAATCTCAAAATCAGTTCTTAACTTTTTTTTTTGTAAATGTTTACAGCAAAGACGCAAGAAAAAGTTTGTCTGAAGAGCATCCTGGGATTAACAACTCGACTCTTACCGCCCACATTTCATTGAAGTGGAAGGTATATATACAGATTATAAAATCTGAATCTTACTGAATAAACTGACTTTGTTAAATGTGAAACTGATTTGTTGTTCTGTGGATACTTATTAAACAGGAAATGGGTGAAGAAGAGAAGCAAATTTACAATGGAAAAGCTGCAGAGCTAATGGAAGCGTACAAGAAAGAAGTGGAGGAGTACAATAAGACCAAGACTGCGTAATAGAGAAACCTAATTCAGTAGTAGAAAAAAAAAGAAGAATGTTCAAGTTTGCTCATATTGAACATCTCTCTCTTATGCAAAAATGACTTTGCTTTTAAATTTTTTAGGATTTGAACATTAGGGTTTGTTTCCTCTCATCCTATTGTGAAAAATCAAAATCTTCTTTTTCTCTAGATTGTTTCAATTACCGGAACTAAAATTTAATCAAACTAAATTTTTATATTTTGCTATATTAAATAATCTCGAGAATATTCACTCCCTAATTTATTTAAATCGAATCGTGTAAGAACGTGTGGAAACCCGTGTCGATCTCGGCCGTTGGATCAAACTGAAATTCCACGTTGAAAATCGGGGAACTTCCTGTAGAGGTGTTATTGGAGATCAATCCCGTGAAATCAGACGGAGAAGAACTACCCACGTGGCAAAAGGTTCCACCACCGGTGCCGAAATCTCCGTTGATCGAGCCGTAAGAGTAAAACGGCGACGTAATGGGGAATGAGAAAGCGTCGCCTTCAATACCGTTGGTACATACCGTAAGATTGGTCCTGAGATTGTCGAGGTCATTTCCGTAGTTTACTACTCTGGGGTTGGGTTTAGTTTCTCGCTTCTCCGGAGGTGGGATCCCCTGTGAGCAAGTGTGTGTTCCTTTGTACGTCACGTCGAAGATCGTTGGATCACCGTCCGATCTCTGAACCTGTTTTGTCGCCCAACAATTCTGCGTGTTGCGAAATGTGCATCTGTAATAACTCCTGCAACACAAACACAACAGATTATTCGATTAATCTAAAAAATTACATAAATTGATCCTAAATTGTTTAAAATTTACTTAAAATTTTGTGAAATAACTCAAATCCTAATATGCAGATTCACAAAGAGCCAAATTAAATTACCAAAGAGTCAACAAACATTTATCAAAAAGGTACAGCCTCTAAACATGATTGGTGATGATGATGCTGATGACAAAGATGATGTACGATTAATGATGATGATGATACCTTGGATATTTGGCGCCCAAAATGTCTTTCTGACCATATTTTCTCCAGCTGAAGACATCATCATGAGGTCCTTCTAAGCCTCTCTCTGGGCTAATTCTCACTTGCTCTGTCCACTTTGGCAACATCTTCCTGCAATGTTTCATTAATTGATTTAATTTTATTTATTTATTAATTTCTAAAAATTCTTGTAAATTTTAGTATTATACTTCAAGAACACATTTCAAATTTAAATTTGTATACCTCTTTTTAGAACCTAAGTTGTAATCTTTGGATCCCCCATCAAGAAACTCTTCGCTTCTTGGACTTCCGTTAATCGACTTTGGAGATTCCGGAACTTTACCGGTATTTGCTACCGGAACCGCCGCAACCGCCGCAACCTCCACCGTCTCAGTCGTCGGACTTTGTAGTGTGGTGGATCCGTTTAGCATCCAAATTGCTTTCTCGTATGAAGAAACGACCTGATGTAAGAGAGTCTCCTTCATCTCCGTCCTCATACCTGAAGAAGAAGATGATGACGACGGCGGCGGCGGAGGAGGAGCTGTTCCGAGCTGAGCTTGGAGCTGCTTTGCCGCCTTTAGTCCATGAGTCAACTCGCTTAGCAAATATTTCTGCTCCCAATTCAACATATCCATTGTTATCGCACCAAAAGGGTAATTTGGTCAGTTGTAGCGTGACTTCGGAAGCCGGTTAAGCCCCGGTCCGCCAGCTTCTGATCGACCGCTTTATAAAAGAACGTTTATAAAAGAAGATACGTTATAACTTTTTATGGCAAGGTTTTAGATTTAGAACATATGATCGAGGCTTATGAGAAAAAGCTGAGATTTTGGTATTTTTAAGATGAGAATGTTTTGGGGGTTGTGTGTTAGATAAAGAGTGTTCTTTTGGAATTTAAAGGCTTTGGATTTGATTCGAGTGAAAATGTGTTTGAAAATTTGACCAAGTGATCAAATTATATAAAGGGGAAAACAGATTCAAAGTTGAGAAAAGTCTTTGGTCTTCGTTAAGGAGTATAGTTTCAGAGTGAATTATATATAATGGTGGTGTTTACTAAAGGTCAAATGCTGACCAATTCAAAGTTGGATTTATTTTAGTTTTAATCAAGTTAGTTAGTTATATCATTCCTGCCGAACAAAAAAAAAAGAAGTTTATCATTCCAATGAATTAATAAAGGATATAAGTAACTGTACTTTTCAATGTTCCCTCTTCAAACTTGTATGGTTTTGCTAACGTAATTAATTAAGGTTGTTATAGTATTTGTTCGCAAAAAGTTATTGGTACTATTTTACATGTCTTATTTTTTTTCTAACAACAAGGCAACAACCATTTCTCTTATATATTTAACAATCACCATTATTTATTTCATATGTTTTGTGTGTAGTGTACAACTCATATATTTTACTGAATTTGAATCTAAATGATGACATAGTTTTGGTGATAACAAACTGAAATCTAGACTTTGAAACTATTAGCATCTTTACTAATTTATTTGTTTAAATTTTAATTAAAATTTTTTCACTGGTTATGTAACTAACAAATCAATAAACTTTTGTCCAAATCATAATTATATTATTTGGGTATGTTAAAACAAAATTAGGATAAGTTCAGCTTATTTTGACATTCTAATGTTGAACTATATGAAATTTATAATTAAAATAATATTTAAGGGATATAGAACAAACTCCCTAAAATTAAACTTTTGTACAAGATCGTTGAAGAAGGTTTTTGCTGACCAAGTCCAGTGTCAAGGACTCAAGAAGGTTTTAAATTTCATATCTCATGATTGATATGCAACTTTATTCCATTAAGATATTTTTTAGCTGGTTTGGGGGTTATGGTTTTGTCTTATTGGAGGAAAATTTAACTGTTGTATGCTCATACGTATAGAGTGAAAGTTGGACTTGGACCATTTTTTACTCAGTTTAGTTTTTCTCAAATTGTAGTGACTGGTGAAGTTTCCATTCAAACTTTATTTCGTCTATGGTTGATCTTTAGATGAAGCAGAAATTAACCACATCGCAACCCCGCAAACGCATAATACAAAAATATTAGTATACTAGTATTTGTCCCGTACTTCGTACTGGAAAAACATAATTTTAAAGATTAATCAAATGTGTGAAATATTTATTTTACTGAGAAATTATTTTGTTTGAATGATAAAGTTTAGATGAGTTTGTTACCATTTGGTCAAGTATTTGAGAGGTTCTGATTGTTTACACCACCATTTCTATCCTTTACCCAATTTAAGGAAAATAACCAATCGTCATCTTGTTGAAAAGTTTAGTAGGCTAATTTATTGGTTTGAAAAAAAGAAAATTGTAAAAACTTTTTGTATTTTCTACAGCAAGAAGAAGAACAATAAAATGAATTAGGTTGTTTTCTTTTTCTTTTTACCATTTATCATCTGATAGAAAGAATATGGTAGTTTTTATTTTGAAGTTGCAGAGATTGTGGAGTAGTGGGTGGTTTTGCTAGATGAAAGTTGAAAAAACCATAATTAATTAAAAAAAAATATAAAATAAAAACAAATTTATTTAAAAATAAAATTGAAAATGACACATGTCAAACTCATAATTGTTAATTGGCTTGTGCTTTATAAGTATAAAGATAAAAAAAAAGGAACAATTGGCAAAATATTTTAGATAGGAAGTTAAATTTGAAAACTACCCTTTTTAGTTAACCCCACTTTTTGATAGTGGTGTAGTTTTCAAATATATACCCTAATTTGAGAGTATAAATCCAAATTTTCTCTAAAAAGAAACGCATGTATATATATCAACAACATATAAATAGGTTACTTTGGTTTTATTATTAATTGGCAAGCGAGTTGGGCTATAGTTGAGAGTTATGATGGTTGACTATTATTTGCCTCTTCTATAAAAAGATTTTATTTACCCTTAATGAAATTAACAAATTAATATAATTTAATTTGTAATTTTCATTTTATTTAAACCTAAATTTCCAAATTCGAGTTTATATCATAAGAATATCTAATTTATAATTAGCATAAATTACAAAAAATCAATTCTAATTATATTTTTAAAGTAATTTTAATTGATCGTTAAAACTACTAATATTTTTGATTAACTTAATTGATTTATGCGGTCATAAGTAAAACTCTAAATCTTATGAAAATTAATTTATGAGGTAAAAAAACATTATACCTTATGAAAATTTATTTTTCAAATATATTAATTTTAATTTCAAATAATTATAAAATCTGATTTTTTCATCTATAAATAAACTAATATTATTATTTAAAAAAATTACACTTAATGAAATTAACAAATTAATATAATCTAATTTTTAATTTTCATTTTATTTAAACCTAATTCCCAAATTCGATTTTATATCATAAGAATATTCAGTTTACTAAAAAAAGTAATTAGCATAAATTACAAAAATCAATTCTAATTATATTGTTAAACTAATTTTAATTTGCTCGTTTAACTTACTAATATTTTTGATTAATGTAATTGATTTATGTGGTCATAAGTAAAACTCTAAATCTTATGAAAATTAATTTATGCGGTCAAAAAATAATATACCTTATGAAAATTTTATTTTTCAAACATATTAATTTTGATTTCAAATAATTATAAAATCTGATATTTTCATCTATATATAAACTAATGTTATTATTTTTTTAAAAATTAATCGAACCCTGCACCTTGTGCGGGGAAACACCTAGTTTCAAATCAACACAACAATAACACTAAAGTCTCTCCATGGCTTGACACCTCAGCTTTTTTAAGCTTTATAAACATGACACATCAGCAAAAATAATCACCAATCAAAACATTTTATTAATAAATCTTATCTACTTATTTTAATTTTTAAACTTAAACCTATTAAAAACTCAAATATTTTTTCTATTAATTTTTGTTTTATTTTTTACCAAATCCAAGCCCAAATAATTAATAACAGTAAATATAAAAATTATTATTTTATTTTTTACCAAATTCAAACCTAAATAATAATAATAAAAAATTAAATCATTGTTTTTTTTGCCAAAACCAAATCCAAATAATAAATAACAACAAATAAATAATAATAAAAAATTCTAACTATCTGTTTGTTTGACATAGACGTATATGATTGAAAAAATGTAGGCTCAACATCAACTATTTTTCCATGACAACAACGCAAAAAGCCTTATGTTATAAAAAACTCACACATCAGCAAAAATTTGAACCGATAAAAACATATTAATTTCTTAGTTTTCGCGGGAAATTGTAGTTTATTTGTGTTTTGTAGGAAAGCGTGATTCTGGACTTAACGAGAAAATTATGTTTTTTTTGTAGGAATAGACGATTTCTCAGTATTCGCAAAAAAAATAAATTTTTCGATTTTGGCTGGAAAATATAATTTTTTTTTTGGTTTTTGCACGAAGATGAATTTTTTGGTTTTTATGAAAAAACGTAATTTCTAAGCTTTGGTGAAAAAATACAGGTTCTCGCGGGAAAATAAAATTTTAGGTTTTTGGTTTGACGAGACTCTCCATAGCTTGACACTTCAGCTTTTTCAAGTTTTATAAACATGACACATCAGCAAAAATAATCACTAATCAAAACATTTTATTAATACATCTCATCTACTTATTTTAATTTTTAAACTTAAACCCATTAAAAACCAATTTTTTTTTTATTAATTTTTGTTTTATTTTTTACCAAACCCAAGCCCAGATCATTAATAATAGCAAATAAAAAATCATTATTTTATTTTTTACCAAATTCAAACCTAAATAATAATAATAAAAAATTAAATCATTGTTTTTTTTTTGACAAAACCAAATCCAAATAATAAATAACAAAAAATAAATAATAAAAAAAATTCTAGCTATCTGTTTGTTTGACATAAACGTATATGATTGAAAAAGTGTAGGCTCAGCATCAAATATGCTTCCATGACAACAACACAAAAAGCCTTATGTTATAAAAAGCTCACACATCAGAAAAAATTTGAACCGATAAAAACATAATAATTTATTAGTTTTCACGGGAAAACACAATTTCACGGAAGATAATACAATTTTTGGTCTTCACGGGAAATTGTAGTTTATTTGTTTTTGTAGGAAAGCGTGATTCTGGGCTTAACGAGAAAAAATAATTTTTTTTTTGCAGGAATAAACGATTTCTCAGTTTTCGCAGAAAAATAAATTTTTCGATTTTGGCGGGAAAATATAATTTTTTTTTTTTGGTTTTTGAACAAAGATGAAATTTTTTGGTTTTTATGAAAAAACGTAATTTCTAGGCTTAGGTGGAAAAACACAGGTTCTCGCAAAATAAAATTTTATGTTTTTGGTTTGACGAGAAAATGAATTTTTTAGTTTTTGTGGGAATAGCTGATTTATCAGTTTAATGGGAAAATAAAGTTTTTTTATTGTGACGGGAAATGCGATTTCTCGATTTTTGTAAGAAGATGAAATTTTTTCTGTGCTAAATTTCCAAGTTAAACTATATTTACAGTAACCAATATTTAATTATTTAACTTTAACTAAAACGATATTTTAAGAATTATAACATAATTTTCTATATAGTTCCAAAACAATAGCAATTGTTTTGATATGAATGTTATTGATTATAGTTTGGTAGTTTTAGAAACATATGTTTATAATAAAATATTTGATAAATAAATAAATTTTATAATTTAAAATAATCATATTAATTAATAAATCTTTTTTTAATAGCATTTTGCTTTATATAATTACAAAGGAGGATCATGTGGTAATTTATTGGAGAAAATAGATTACATTTACCATTATCATGAAGGTACTAAAATGTATTTCTTTATTCTTATATATTTTATTCCAATATATACATTTATAATTAGTTAGTTAACTAAATTTAATAGTAAATTATAATTTTGAACAAAAAGTATATATATAATGTTTATTCAGATTTAAAACATATAGATACATAACTTAAGCTAAT